GAGAATACTAGAGTGAGCCACTGAGGAACAAGTATAGAGAGAAAGAATACTAGAAAGAGCCACTGAGGAACAAGGATAGAGAGAAAGAATACTAGAGTGAGCCACTGAGGAACAAGGATAGAGAGAAAGAATACTAGAGAGAGAGCCACTGGGGAACAAGTATAGAGAGAAAGAATACTAGAGAGAGCCACTGAGGAACAAGGATAGAGAGAAAGAATACTAGAGAGAAAGAGAAAAAGAATACTAGAGAGAGCCACTGAGGGACAAGTATAGAGAAAAAGAGAATACTAGAGAGAGCCACTGAGGGACAAGTATAGAGAGAAAGAATACTAGAGAGAGCCACTGAGGGACAAGTATAGAGAAAAAGAGAATACTAGAAAGAGCCACTGAGGAACAAGTATAAAGAGAAAGAATACTAGAGAGAGTCACTGAGGAACAAGTATAGAGAGAAAGAATACTAGAGTGATCCACTGAGGAACAAGTATAGAGAGAAAGAATACTAGAGAGAGAGCCACTGGGGAACAAGTATAGAGAGAAAGAATACTAGAGAGAGCCACTAAGGGACAAGTATAGAGATAAAGAATACTAGAGTGAGCCACTGAGGAACAAAGCATAGAGAGAAAGAATACTAGAGAGAGCCACTGGGGAACAAGTATAGAGAGAAAGAGAATACTAGAGAGAGCCACTGGGGAACAAGTATAGAGAGAAAGAATACTAGAGTGATCCACTGAGGAACAAGTATAGAGAGAAAGAATACTAGAGAGAGAGCCACTGGGGAACAAGTAAAGAGAGAAAGAATACTAGAGAGAGCCACTAAGGGACAAGTATAGAGATAAAGAATACTAGAGTGAGCCACTGAGGAACAAAGCATAGAGAGAAAGAATACTAGAGAGAGCCACTGGGGAACAAGTATAGAGAGAAAGAGAATACTAGAGAGAGCCACTGGGGAACAAGTATAGAGAGAAAGAATACTAGAGTGAGCCGCTGAGGAACAAGGATAGAGAGAAAGAATACTAGAGAGAGCCACTGGGGAACAAGTAAAGAGAGAAAGAATACTAGAGAGAGCCACTGGGGAACAAGTATAGAGAGAAAGAATACTAGAGTGAGCCGCTGAGGAACATGTATAGAGAGAAAGAATACTAGAGTGAGCCGCTGAGGAACAAGTAAAGAGAGAAAGAATACTAGAGAGAGCCACTGGGGAACAAGTATAGAGAGAAAGAATACTAGAGTGAGCCGCTGAGGAACATGTATAGAGAGAAAGAATACTAGAGTGAGCCGCTGAGGAACAAGGATAGAGAGAAAGAATACTAGAGAGAGTCACTGAGGAACAAGTATAGAGAGAAAAAATACTAGAGAGAGCCACTGAGGAACAAGGATAGAGAGAATGAATACTAGAGAGAGCCATTGAGGACTAAGTATAGAGAGAAAGTTTGAAATATTAGAGAATATATATATAGAGTGATAATGATGACCATTTCAAGTTTTCGCCTATTATTACTTTATTCATCATACACTTATTATTGTAACAACAAACTAAGTTTAACAGGTCAGACTCTATTGGTCTGTTGCTTTACACTGCCTAAGTATTACCATATTGGACTAAATAAATGCACATGCCTCTTTACACAACCCTACCTTTATTCAGGATGAGTGCACTACCAGTGATTAAAACCTATAATAAAAAACCTTGTAAAATGCTTTACAAGCTTGGGTTTCAGGTAACATGTACTTCTAAGAAAGTCACTTCAAGAATGATTAAAATAACATTTATTTCTGACTCAAAAGGCTATTATCTTTCATTTACATGAATATCTGAATTGAAATTAATCTTGCAGATTTCTCCACCACTTCATCATTGTTGCCTTCAGAAGGGAACTTTACTTTTGCATTAATAAGCCATTAATCATCATTAGTGCTGATTTATAAATTCTGCAGGAATAGAGCATTGAGATTCAAAATGCAGAACAATTCAGTTTTACATTTTGTATGTGGGTGTTGAATGATGTGTGCATGGAATTTTAAAACAACAAATTAATTTCATCACAAAGCTGATCAAATTACAATTTGAATAACAAAGACGATTAGGATGTGAGTAACTTTAAGGCTGGGATTAGCCCTGATGGAACATAACTCTGTCAAAGATTAAAACACCCTGTGAAAAATTATCAGAATCCTGATATTCTTCAACTTCCAGTGGAAAAATTGGCAATATCTGGCTGCATCTTTGAGCTTGAAATATACTCAAGGGATAAAGAAACGCAGGGTAAACTTTGAAGATGATTCTAGGCAAGATGTCAAGTATAATGTTCAATATTTTCAAGTAAGAATGAAGATTAATCCATACAGAGCAAGCTACAAAATCAATGATTTCTATCTGGTATGTGAGTTAGGAGTAGTCGAAGGGAATTGAAAGAGAACTCTGTAATCTGAAGTTAAAATGGACTGATTGTGGGAGCTGGATAGTCAATACCAGGTATGTCCCCCATTCGCTCTCTCCACAGACCTGATTCTCCTAGGCATGGAGTTCGTGAGTGAGTTTATCCTCCTCATTGGGATGTTGGCCCATTCTTTTAAGAGGGCTGCTCTCAGTTGGGCCAGAGTAAGAGGAGAAGGCTGGCATCGATGAACCTTTATATCCAGCTGGTCCCACAAGTGCTCAACATGGGATAGGTTGATACAAAGGGAGGATATTGTTGTTGGTGAGAAAGTCGCGACAGATCCTCGCTACATGGGGCTGAGCATTATCCTGCTGGAATGTGAGGTTGTTTTGCTGCAATAATGGGACAACATGGGGTCGAAGGATCTCGTCTCCATACCTAGCTACAGTTAAATTACCTGCTACCACAACCAGTGGTGATTTAATTCCATGTGAGATTCCTTCCCATACCATAACCAATCCATCCCGAGGCCTTTCCCTCTCTACTTTGCAGCAGTCCACGTCCTCAGTATACACAATGTTGAAAGTCTGCTTGAAACAGAATGAACAGGGACTCATCAGTTAACAAGACCTGCCTCCACTGCCTCAATGGGAATATTCTGGATACATGTGCTACAACCCAAGCTATAGCTGGCAATGATCAGCAGTAAGGGGCAGACCTACAAACAGGTGATGTGCCCACAGACCAACTTCACACAATCATTCCCTTGCAGTTTTTCATGAATAGTATGGTTATGAGTGCCTATGGTATGAAGGGCAGATTCATTAGCAATAAGATGCTGATTGTGCAAATACGTGAGACAAATTAACCTGTCCTGACGTTGTGACATCACACACGGACGCCCACACCTAGGTCTGTCAGCAACCCACCCAGTTTCCCTTAGACCTCTACCAAGATGTTCTATAGTGCAGATATGAACTCCAAAATGTCTGGCAAGCCGTACTTGCCTTTGAGAACTCAGAACTACTAATGGTGTGATGAGCAGTGTAACTCAATGTCAAAACACTGCTGTGCACGAGATTTTCCCATTTTGTGCTCTCCCTGGAAGACATTGTCACTCTATACAATAATGCAGCATTTGATACAGGACCATGTATAACTGTAACCTAGAGAGTTACTGGACTAATTTTCGTTGTTTTTGAACAATAGTTTTGCAAGATATTTCAAATAATGTCACCCTGCATTTCTATATCCCATACACATGACATCATATCTCATGAATCATGATGTTTCAAATGGTCAAAGTGTACTTATTCCCAACTTTGGAGTTTCTGCCTTTCAGAAGCTAAACCCCTTAAAATGTCTATCACTTGAATCTTCTGGTGTCACTTTTCCTAAAAAAAAAGGCAAAATTTCAAAAATTAATACATTTTGTCATATTTATTTAAATGACTATCTCTATGCAATGACATGATAGTTTAATAGAAATAGAGCGTGTGTATATTGGACATAACCACGACTTGATTCTACTGGTCGTGAAGCAAGTGTGTTGGTTGTGTATAGAAATTTAATTAGAAGATAAATTTTAGAAGGGTTTTTTTTTTATTTTGCATCTTAAACTGTGAGTTATATTAATTGTATCTTGTAACAAAAAGCTGATCAGTTTTTTTTTATCAAGGTTGGGGCCAAAAGTGGGTCAAATTGACTGAAATTTCAAAGATGTTCTACTGTTCATGCATGGAAGATTTTTTATAGGAATATTCAAAGTTTGAGCGATATTTCTTTTGATTCAAACTTGCATAGAAGCCTTAGCTTAGGACAGCAGTTAATGTATACAAAATTTACATTTGCATTATGTGTAGAAAATAGTTCAAGTTAGGTTACTTTTTAAACAAAATCGTTTCTATGACATGTTACAAGAAACATTGTGACTCAGGGGACCATTAAGGCCCGTGGGCCTCTTGTTCTATTTTGCTTCTTATACTCTGAGTTACATTAATTTATCTTGTAACAGAAAGCTGATCACTTTTTTGATCCAGAAAAATTGCAAAATATCTTGTATTGTATTTTTCTGGAAGGTGAAATGGCATTTATTACATTCATATAGTGAAAAATAACACTTTTGCAGACTTACATCAATGAATAGAAAAAATACAAATCATCTGATAAAATTGACAAATCATAAAGCCAAGTACAAAAAAAAAAAAAAAACGAAATCAGACATCTGATGGGGTTGTATATTTGCGGCAAAACTTTCAATTCCATGGTAGATGTTCATTTCCATGAAAGTCGGCAAACAATGCAACGCAGACTACCTTATCAGAGATCAAATCCAATCCCAAACCAAATGTCTTGAATGTGGAGCTAACACATTAGACATTTCAAGGGGATTTGTGTCATCAACAGTGACAACTGTAGGTTGGCGCCAGCAGTGTAGTAAATTGTCACAGGTTAAACACTCTGTCAAGGTTTTACAGCAAATTTTGACTCTTAGTCACATGAATTAGTAACATTTTCTATTTGAATATGAAAATAATTTTATATTGAATTGTATTTTTGTCAGATATCTTTAATGATTTTTTAAAAAACAGACTATGTTTTGTCATATACTCTGCAGTTAAAATGAGTAAGTAGTGTCTGCAAGAAACCTAGTCAGCTTTCTTGTTTTAAATTTGTTCCTTAACATGCCAGAATTAGGTTATTTTGCTTGTGAAAATGTAATAAATAGAATATTTAATAGTGTCTTCAGTAGTAATAAATATATTTCACTTGTGCTGAACACTTGTGATAGAAACTAAAATATTAGATATACTTGTGAAACATATTTATTCCTTTAGACACTATTAAATATCCTCTACATAGTCAAAAGTAAACAATGATGTATAACAAGCATCACAGCGAAAACTTGACATTTCCTTTATCTCCTTTGCAGAAACTTACTCAGAAGCGATAAAGATCCTGAAGGGCGAGTATGTATTGAAGGCTTTAGATGAGCACAAGATGGACCAGGCACTGATCTTCTGTCGTACAAAGCTAGACTGTGATAACTTGGAGAAATATTTACAGCAAAGGGGAGGTAAATCTGCATCTCAACTTAATTGTCACTGAAAAGAAAATAGGCTCTGATGATAAAGGTAGCAGTTACCTTCATACAGAATAATTATTTTATATTTTAAAATGTATATAAGACCTAAAAAGGGGGATTCAAAACATGCTATGAAACAGATAAGATTAAAAAAAATCCACAAAGGGGAGGTAACTTCATAAGTCTTATATGTATGTTGAAGATCAATCATGATGGATATTGATGTTAAATGGTATAAAAATTAATCCAAATAAAGGGAAGAGAGTAGCCATTTGAGGCTTGAATATATTTTTTGATGCTGTATTCTATTAAGTCTTTTCTCATTTTTTTTTTCATTTCTGTAATGTCATATTTATAAACTCAAATTATGTTAGAATTTTTAAGTATTGATTATAATTAATTAACATGAAAGTGTTCAAGAGAATTCCAGCCTTAATTAATGGTGGATTATTGAAGGGAATTCTGACCTTTAATTGTCGATTGTTGAAAGACATACCAGCCTCTAATAGTTAAGGATTCAAGGGAAGACTTGTCTTTGTTCGGCTTCAGTTTCCTTACCAATCGAGTCAGACAAAGGATGTTATTAACCTATGTGTACTGGTAAAGCTGTGAAAGATCTGGTCTGTCATACCTTTCTGATAATTGACTAATTTATAGGAGAATAATTGCTGTTATTCGACAGCTTGAAGCTTGAGATAGATACTATTGGCTTTCTATATCATTAACTTCATTTTCTGATTTAGTGCTGGACCTTATCTGTTCACCGAAAATTTTCACAGCGGTGTAACTGATAAAATTTATAAGATGTGTTAATGTTATTATTACATGATTTATTGTTAATATGTTTGTAAAACAACCATACACTTATCTTACCTATCTCTCAGATTTACCTGTAAATTAAAGTACTTCAGAAAGGGATATGCATATCAAAGGTAGTACTGAAGTATTTGCTATATGATAAAAAAGCTGTCCTAGCTAACATGACTGTTGGGCTGATTGATATATTGTTTTAGAATTCAAATAAATTGATAACCTTTGTCCTTCTTTTTCGGTATTTTTAGCTCACCTGTTCAAAGGGCCATATACTTTTGCACTAGTGTGGCATCAGTCGGCCATCAGGCATCATTTCTTTCCATGAAATAACCACTTTGTAATGAAGAGGCCCAGGGTCATAATATTCAGTCAGTAGCTTGCTGGGATAAAGGCTACCAAATTTGTTCAAATGAATGATCAAGATCCACCTTTAAGGTCATAGAGGTCAAATATTCCTCATTATTTCTAATGATATATACTTTGTACTGTAAAGAAGGAATGATATCAATGGTGAATATGAAGTTACAGGAGTTAACTCTTCTGATGATGTTATCTCTATATAAGCTAGAGCTGGTGAGCAACACAGGTCCATTTTGCTTCTTTTTGATAGTATACACCTGACTACAGAGCAACACTTAACAAAGGGTTCAGCATGATGTTTATTATAGTAAGGGTACAGCGACACAGCTGTACAAATGCTAGAAGTACATGTATATATTAAGTTAATCTTTCCTGATAAAAGATGTACTGCAATATATTGAACCTGATCAAATTTCTTTACAGAAGTGTATTTTATCTTTCCCAGCAGTGTTGGCCTAAAAAAAAAAATGAGAATGTGTTAAAAGTATTATAATTCATTTAACTTATAAAAATTGTCATCATACACCGTTATGAAGTCACATGATTGAATCCCCCTGACAAAATTACTTTGATGTTACTTTGAATATTGCTCTGTTAATATGGATTTGATTTCGTCCAATATGTCACATCTGAAGAGTTATCTTTCCCTGAAGTAGTACAAAATACCAGTTTTGTAGGAATAGACATTCTGTGTAGGTGTAGTATATTTTTAATGATATGTCACAAGGGTTGTTACAGATCTTGTAGTTACAATGATTGATGTGAGACAGATAGAAATGGTGTCTGAGTTATTTGATTTACAAAACCTTTATTCTTCTTTAATGGACAACTGTTAAATTTCTTTTCTTTAACAGGACGTTTTCTTTAATTCCGTCTTTTGTTGTAAATTTCAATAATTGAATCTTGAACATACGTCATCAAGGAAAAAAATAGAAATATGTCATTTAGGCCAACACTCTTTGCTTAAAAATCCATAGCTATGGGTATAGGATAATTATTCTGAAGTCACTTGCTTAGTCAGTGTGTGTGACTAAAACAAGAATTGTTCTTTAAAGATGTATGGAATTTCAACAAAAGAAACAAAAAAATTGAAACCCATACTTAAAGCAATCTATACTTACATCAGGATTTGGATATAATCTTTTCCTACAACTACACATGTAATGTTCCCATGTTAAATCATAAAGTGGGTTTATCTAGCAGTATGATCCTATATATCTATATATTACAGTGTAAAACTACCATCCAACACTGTAAATCATTGTAATAAACTACATTATATCAAAGGTCTCTGGGGCTTATACAGCCCCTTTCAGAACTAAATAAATACAAATATTTTATCAAGTATCCACTATTTACTCTTCAAGGTCATCATTCAATTTGAAGCCCCTTTAATAAATAATTAATAAAAAAAATTGATGCAGTATATATTAGTTTCTGATTAAGTTTGAAATGCTGCAGTGGTAGAAAAAATGTTTCAGTGTTTTTTTTGTTTCATTTATAAAAAATTTTGCTTTGTCAGCTTTTCTTAATCATCAAGAAATAAATGCTTAATGCATTAAAACAGCCTAGCTCATATAATTGATATATATTCTGTTGTGCAAAAAAATCTTCAAAAGAGATTGATTTTCGTTCAGTTTCAAATATAGTTTTGTTTCTGTGAAAATGGTTATATTCATTCCTTTCCTTTGTGTGCAAGTGAAAAAAAGAAGATTGATTCAATGCTTTATCAGTAATTTTATGTGAAGGCTTTGGTTTGTTTTTATGTTCTAGGTAGAAATTATTCCTGCGTCTGCTTGCACGGTGATCGAAAGCCACACGAAAGAAAAGCCAATTTACAGAAATTCAAGGTAAAGATTTATACCAAGTATTGACTATAATTTATCACAAGATCCATCTGTTGACACTCGCAGTAATAGTTGGGAAGAAAAAAAAAATTATCAAACCCAATACCTTTGTCACCTTAAGTGTATAGCAGAAAAAAACCTGATGTTCTCTTGCAATTTCATGTTGGTTTTTTGAATCATTTCAATAAAGGAATGGATTGAAGACCAAGGTGTTAAGTTTCTGCTGACTTCAGTGTTGGCATCATACAGCTTCCCCATGAATGTTAAGAATTGTTTTATTTAGCTCAATTTCTTCTAAGATACAATTTGGTGTTTAGCCAGCTGAAACGATGAATTCTAAGTAAATGAAAAATATTCTGATATATGCTTGTAAGTATTTGCTTTCATTTTAAAAAGGTTTCAAGAAAAGCAATTCTCGAACAAAACACTATCAAAACAAAGTGGGGTAATAAGCCTTTAGTTCTGGCCATTCTAACATGTATCTGTCCAACTATATAAAAAGTAATTTGGATGATTTGAAATATTGGTTAATGAGCAGAGGTGTTGGAATCCCCTCTGAACAGCACATTCTATATAATACACAGTGTTTTAATCTCATATGTATCATATTTGTCTGACAAAAAGTTATCTAACAAATAGTCCATGGCTGTTGTTAAAGCCCACTCATATCAATTATGTCTAATAGTAAAAAATAATTTGTCGCGTTGTGATTAAAATTTTCTCTACTAACCCTATGAGGGTATGGTGAAGGATATGAAACAGAAAAAAAAAAAGAAGTTTTGAAAAAAGACAATTGGATTAGTTCAGCCCTCTGTTGATTCAAACATATTTCACTGATTTAATCAAAAGTACATTTATTTTTTAATTCTATGTCTTTTGGGACTTAGTGGTCTCAACAAGTTAGTGGAAGTGTGAAGGATCAAGACATTTATACATGTAACTTCCACAAAAGTATTTTTTTATAGACACTTCATTCTACATATATAGGACACAATGGTAAAATTATTGTCTTTAACCAAAATGTCTTCTTTGTCATCCATTTTTCCATGATCAGACATATTAACTACCAGTTGTCCTAATTTTAGTAGGGACTTGATGTTAGAGTTTAACTTTGATCTTTCCTAAATTTTATATGTGAACCCTTCAGTATAATTTACAAATTTTGTGTTCTTGCTCAAGGATAAGGGTGTGAAATTTCTCATCTGTACGGATGTAGCAGCCAGAGGAATAGATGTAGGCGGTCTTCCCTGTGGTAAGTATCAGAGTGAAGCTGGACTTTTAACTGCACTTAGATCGTATTCTTGCATCGCGCACGTTTTATAAGTAAACTGATAGAGGCTTTTAGTAACAAAACAATCAAATTATTCTTTAACGAGTGAAAAATTTGTAATCTGGATATAGGAGAACATTATTTCACTGATTATTAAATTTTCACTGTCAAGTTAATGTACTGCTAAATAGTGAAAATATCATTCCCATTCATAAAAAAATGGAATTGCTTGTTTTATCAAACTGCAAAATATTTGCTTTTGAACCAATGGAATAGATATAATAAGAGGGAGCTATTGACATAATGTTTTTTAAACATTTTCTCCTAACATATCAGGTAACGTTTAAATTTTTTTCATCAGAACTATATATTTGTGATAACTGATAGCAAAAATATAGATTTTGAAGAATAAGATTAAGAATGCCTTCTGTTCTACACACTAACACCAAAACAAACCAAGGCATTGTAAGTACTACAAGTCTCCTCACATTTATTATACAACCTAGACTTCAGCACAATACAGTTTGTTGAAAATGCTAAAAGAATGAGGCCATTTTAGAGTGCTGATTCTACAACCCTGTCACTCAAACTCGTCTGTAAAGATATTGTTCCTTTATGTAAACTTGAAATTTGATTGAAATCCCTCCAGAAGGGAAACCAGTCGAGTACTAACAAGGATTTTCTAAAAATAACAATGGTGACCTTGACCTTATAATCCTGCAACTTGAACTTGTTGGATATTTTTTGGTCCTTACTGTGATCCTTTATTGTGTAAAGTTTGATTGAAATCCTTTAAGAACTGAAGCTACATAGCAGACTAGGATTTTCTAAAGATAGTTGTTGTGATCATGACCCAACTACCCCTGAACTTTATTAAAATAATTGTTTGAGATGTAATGTTGGTTTTTAAGTGTGTTATGTTTGATAAAAAATTCCCCCAAGGAATGAAGCTGCCAGACCTCTGACGACATTTTCTGAAATGGTAACCTTGACTTCACCCTTGAAACCTGAATTTCAAACTCATCTGAGATACATAATTGTCCTTTATGAGAGTTTCAAGTTTGATGAAAATCACAGCAAGAAATGAAACCAATATAGCAAGGACAAGAATATTTAGAAATAGCAACAGTGACCTTGACCTTGTCCTCAGAACCCTGAAATTGGAGTTTGTCCAGGATATAATGGTCCTTTATGTGTTTGAAGTTCTATCAAAATCTGTTTCAAAATGAAGGAGCAGGAGTGCTGATAAGGATGAGTATTACGTAAAAATACATGTTATGTACATTCCTATTCCCCCTCCAACATTCGTCATGGGAAAATTATAAAAAAAAAGAAAACATAATTGATAATATTTTTTGCTTAAAAGTTACACCTATAATTAATGACAATTCTCTGACTTTTTTGACAGTGATCAATGTAACTCTGCCTGACGAGAAGCAAAACTATATCCACAGAATCGGACGTGTGGGAAGAGCTGAAAGGTCAGTAGTTATCAAACATTAAGCCTATGCACTGTTATAAGCCCAGTGTTATTCATAAGATGTACTGCCCTGCATAAAAGATATACAGATACCGTTTATACATGTGTAGGGAAATAGGAAGACCGGAATGTCTATGCATCTCAACCATCAAAATCCTTCCCTATCATATGTGAGCTTCCCAACAAAGCATTAGTCTGAACCAACATACTCTTCTGCATAACCAACATGCTGTATGATTTCCCTAAATCATGGAGGTGTGTAAGATAATCTGTCACCTGTGACAGAGTGGGACAATTGGAATTGTATATGTGTTGACCACACCAAGACACCCAGTTATTCCAGGCAAGATTATAATGGTTAATTGTTGATGACTTCCATGATGAGGAGACAAGGATGGCAGACTGTTGAGATAAGTCCTGCCTTTGTAGGGATCTCCTGATAAGTGACAAGCAATCAGTCTCAAACCGGTTAATGGATGGTAGTGGCCCTCAGGTGACAACAGAAGATTCCTGCATCTTGACAACCTTGCAAAGGTACCTACAATACCGTTTAATAGCATAGGTAACCATACCTGGTTTCTCCACAAAGGCAGGACTAAAAAGCCGCATTCACACAGTCGTGTTTGATTTTCTGGATGACTCTCACCACCATACTGAAAGAAGGAAAAACGGATGTAAATAATCTATCCTTGACAGAGAGAAAGCATCTGAGGCCAAGGCTTGCGAATCTCGTTACCAGGACACAAAATTTGAGACCTTAATAATTTAGTCTACTTGCAAACAGATCAATGACGGAGACAAAGAAACGGCTGGAAAATTGACCCATCCAGAGACCATTCTCCTTATGTCTGTATGGATCTTGATAAATAATTACCATCCACACTGAGAACCCCAGATACATGATATGCAAAAATAATGGGTACGTACTGAACCATCGAATATAGTGATGACAGAGCCAACCATACCGCATTAAGGTGATCACCTCTCTCTGTGACAGAACAACAACCCTTAGTTTGTCTATCTCCACACCTAGCTCCCTAACCTGATAGATGTATCAGTCTCCAAGAACACAGATGATTCGTCTGGCCTGATGATCTGACCATCTCACATTATCAATCCACCACTGAATCTCGATCTTGGCGTCAGTAGGTACACTGACTACATCATCATATGACACACCTACTGCAAAGCTCAGTGACTTCACCCGATCTGTTTGCTTATAATAGAGACTGGCCAGTCTTACTGCTCTCAGTGATGATGTAAATAGACCAACCAAACAAGCTAAATCCCTGAGAGTCGGGTGATTATTGCCTAAAAAGTGTGAACAGTTATCACAAACATTTTGTACCTTTTCCTATGTAAATTATGCTGTGAAAGTGATAGAGTTAATCACATATCCTAAATGAATTCTCTCATTCATAGCATCGAAAACTGATTTCTCCTTATGAATCTGAAACCCAGCAGATAATCTGCCAATATCAAACAGTTCTTCTCACACAAAGATTTCTCTGCTGCCCTGACCAATGAATCAGGATCCCAGATAATCTGCCGATAATAAACAGTTCTTCTCACACAGAGATTTCTGTGCTGCCCTGACCAATGAATTATCTACATAAGAAAAGGCACAAATGCCCATACTTCGGATTCATGCAAAAATTGGTTTAAGGATTTTGGTGAAGATTCTTGGAGTGCCTTAAATTTGTACCAAGAACCATTCCACAGAAACTAAAGAAACTTAGAAAACCTATTCTCCATCAGCATGCTTATCATCTTTGAGATCATTGGATGCAAAGTAATCACCCCTCTCAAATGAAACGAGCACTATAGCTAAAGTTTCTTCAGATCAATGACTGTACTTTCCATTCTTTTTCTTTACCATAACAACTTGGCAACCTCTCGTTCTATAATCTCAGATTCTTTTTCCCCAAAAGAAATAGGGCTAGGTGCCATATATTGTATTGGTTGGTTAACAAACTCTATATGTAAACCTTGAATGATTTGCAAAATTCAATCATCATGTGCGATGGACTGCCAAAATTGGAAATGATGTCTTATACTACCAGGAGGGCATGCAGAACTCACCTCTAGTCCTATTTCACATTCTGACTGCTGCTCTTTTGGGCACTGGACCGCTGTCTGTGAGACTGTGGTCCCCGACTAGGTTGTCTAGATTAACCTCTGCCTCGATCCTGCAGGCGTAAAAATGCCCATTGCTGTAATATCCCAAATGGCTGAGCTGCCACGGCATTGACTTTTCTCTCTCCATGGTCTTCTGGACCTTTTCCATTAGGAAAGCAGTTGAAGACTCTATTTGTCTCAGAGATGTCTTCAACTTTCTAAGTAAAGTCACCCCCAAGCAACCACTCTGTAACTGGGACATCTTTAGAACACAAGGAATGATAAGCCTTTGGAAGTGTTTGTCTTAGCAGGATCGGTCTCTCTGTTGATTTCTTTTGGAATGCGTTTCCACACAACAGTAGAGAGTCAACGCATAATAGATGCAGGGTTTCCACAAACTGTGGATATTTCATCTAATTCTGAGTCAGTTTCATAAGTAGCACCATGCCCAGACCTAACATACCCTGAGTCTCCTTAAACTCATAATCACCAGCCTACATAGGTCTCTCCTGTTTTGACCAAATTTCTTTATTTACTTTAGGTGCCCTGATATTGACACAGTTCTTGGGAACTTTATACTTGTCCAAACTTTTATTCAAATTTGTCACCACCTTTACACATGCTGAATTATCGAGAGATGCCACCTGTGCGTTCAAACCTTTGTCGAGGCTACCATTCTCAAAATATTCCGACATGACACACAAATCCCCTTGGGCTGTGTCAGACAATACCAGCAATATAGACAAGTATCTGTCATCACATACACTGTCCTTATCTAAAGTTTGTAGGCCCAACAGGTCCTGCCAATCTGAGACATGCAAATCAGTTTCAACATAACTATCGTCTGAAGCATTATTAGATGGTACTGAACAAGGGGCCAACAGCCACCTATTCATCTCCTCTAACTTACTCTCTAAATAAAGAACACGCTCTTTAACATTTCCTGACAATACTTTAGTTGTCTCTTCTCCTGTCCCTCACTGCCAGCAGCAAAGGATGACCTTTTAAAATCACGGACAGTGCCCTTAGACAGGCCTGTGGTATTGAAATATTCCTGAAAAACTCTTTGGGAAGGCTTCAACGTACTCTCACTATCAAGTGCATCTGCCTTCCCTACCACAGTCACACCACACGAAATGGTATTATTAGTCAGTGTCATGCACCTATAGGATGACATAGTGCATTTTAACCAACTGCTGTAGAGCGAGAATGACGGAGAAAGGTGGTTGCTAATCCCTGCTTAATGCTCGGCATAGTGGAAATACAATGAAAAACTTCAGTCAGTATATTGTGGCCAGATGGGTTGCTCTGTTGGGGACTTTGGGCAGTATACTTCAGAGTAGCACTACAAGGTCAGCTTCAGTACTACACAATTACAAGGACCTGATGTCAAATTTTACACACTCAAAAACACAGTCACTCACATACATACATAACAAAATGTAATCCTGTGGTCCCACCCCAGCCAACGGATACTTTTAGACCCCTCCTCAAAGATACCCCCTAATGAAAATAAATTGTTAAGAAGGAGGATACCTTTTATGTGTAACATTGATTAGTTTTATTGCTGTTCATAAGAGTAATACCAACAAACAATATTTCATTGTCTTGAAATAATTCCATTACAAGAAGTTTTAATTTAATACAATAAAACACGTAACATTAGCTCAGAAGAGCTATTTTAAGACACGATTCCTTCCATTCCTTGAATTGAGTCAGATGTTATGTTTGCTCCTGCGATTTTTGCTGAACTCATACTGTATACTAGTCGCCTCATGTTATTTTTGCCCATGTACCATTATACACAAATTTGCCTCGTGTTCACTTTTCCCTTTAAGAGAATATAAATGGGTTATGTAAGTGTATAAGTATATAGATTTTCACTTCCATCTTAAATTCACCCTCCCTGTTCATGGAAGAAAATGGCGAAAATAAAATGTAGGCAAAGATTTCTTGATGCATAGTATGGAGTTGGGCAGCAATGAAAAGCTAGAAAGATAATACTTTAGTTTGATCATACCGGCAGAGCTTGGTTCAAACGCTTCTCTAAACCATAATCTGAATAGAAAACACAACATTTCAAGTTTGCATGTAGATGATACATCAAACATGTTGTATAAAAAAATGTTCCTTTAATTATTTAAACAAAACCTTAATAAAGTCGAAGTTGGCATTTAATCAATCGGATGCTCTGCCTGCAGCAGTTACATAAGATGAAGGAGATTTCTTTTTTGTCACAGCTTAAAGACAATTTGGGCACATAAATAGAGGAAAATGCCTGCTAAAAAGCATTTATTATGTCAGGGAAGAGAGAAAAAAAGGTTACAAGAGACAACTAACACAATTTAAATGGCATTCTTTATTGTATTTTTATTTAAAGGTCCTGTTTCTGATACCCAATGTGGTTTGTTTGATCGTTAATTATTGATTAAGAAAGTTTAGAAGAATCTTTATTGGAAGTTGTACAGACATGGGATTAATCTTTATTATAAAAGGTAAACAGTCGAGAATATCATTTGTTTCGGAGTTTCGACACAGCACTTTGTGATGAAATTAAATACAAGTTGCCCTTTATTTTCCCGATGTGTTATGTTGCACATCTGTTTTTTGTAACATGTTACTGTGTAATTTTATTTTTCTCACTGTTTGTTTTCTCATTGCAGGATGGGACTTGCTATTTCATTCGTTTCCACTGTTAAAGAAAAGGTAAAGTGTTAAACCATGTAAAATATGTTATTTGTCCACACAGTTAAGGTTGTATGCTTTTGACATTTTCAAGGAACAAATAAGGTTGTGAAAAACATATATATTAAAAAGAAAATTTAGAGCCGAAACTGTAGACTGTTTCATAATTTCCTTAAAAGTTCAACATTTTTATTTAAATTTTTTTATATAGCTTTGAACCATGCATTGAATTGAAAAGTTTTTGTACATAGTCATAGATTTTTTATTTGTACCAAATTTTCCCACAATTTTGAATGGATCTTATTCAACTGAACAGTGCTTTGATTTGACTGTATTTGGAATAGTTACTGATTCTTGTTGATGTCAAAATATCAATCTTGTCTCCCAATTTTGACTGATTTCTTTCAAACTTCATGGTAATCACATGACATGAAATTGTGTTTTCTCACAAAGCATCTAGATATCAAAAATTTTTAAGGATTTATTGCCCTTTGTTTATTTAGCATGTTGATTTTGTACAGAGATTGTTTCCCTCAGTTTTCACAAATATCTCTGAAATTTAGAGGCTTTAGAAGCACTACCTGAAGTTGTGTATTCCTGAAAGTATTGTGATTTTACAATTTTGGAAATAGTAATTGCCCAGTGTATTTTTCAACATTTTTATCTATTTTGGGTATCATTTTTTGCAAGTGTATAAACTGTTAGGTACTCCACAAAATTTATTTATTTCAAATGAATACTGGGTACATCATTCTAAATGGATGGGTGCATAATAGGTATAGCTCAGTTCACTGTAGTTGTACAAGATGCAAAATTCTAACCTTCTGACTATCATACATGTACAAATATAATTCAGTGTACCAGTAATTGTACACTGGGTGCCATACAGATGTAACTTAGTGTAGTTGTAAACTGGGTGCCATACAAGTGTAACTTAGTGCAGTTGTAAACTGGATGTCATACAAGTGTAGCTTAGTGCAGTTGTAAACTGGATGTCATACAAGTGTAACTTGTGTAGTTGTACACTGGGTGCCATAAAAGTGTAACTTAGTGTAGTTGTACATTGGGTGCCATACAAGTGTAACTTAGTGTAGTTGAACATTGGGTGCCATACAGATGTAACTTAGTGTAGTTGTACACTGGATGTCATACAAGTTTAACTTAGTGTAGTTGTACACTGGGTGCCATACAAGTGTAACTTAGTGTAGTTGTACACTGGGTGCCATAAAAGTGTAACTTAGTGTAGTTGTACATTGGGTGCCATACAAGTGTAACTTAGTGTAGTTGTACATTGGGTGCCATACAGATGTAACTTAGTGTAGTTGTACACTGGATGTCATACAAGTTTAACTTAGTGTAGTTGTACACTGGGTGCCATACAAGTGTAACTTAGTGTAGTTGTACACTGGATGTCATACAAGTGTAACTTAGTGTAGTTGTACACTGGATGTCATACATATTAGACTTAGTGTAGTTGTACACTGGGTGCCATACAAGTGTAACTTAGTGTAGTTGTACACTGGGTGCCATACAGATGTAACTTAGTGTAGTTGTACACTGGATGTCATACAAGTTTAACTTAGTGTAGTTGTACACTGGGTGCCATACAAGTTTAACTTAGTGTAGTTGTACACTGGGTGTCATACAAGTGTAACTTAGTGTAGTTGTACACTGGATGTCATACAAGTTTAACTTAGTGTAGTTGTACACTGGGTGACATACAAGTTTAACTTAGTGTAGTTGTACACTGGGTGTCATACAAGTGTAACTTAGTGTAGTTGTACACTGGATGTCATACAAGTGTAACTTAGTGTAGTTGTACACTGGATGTCATACAAGTGTAACTTAGTGTAGTTGTACACTGGGTGTCATACAAGTGTAACTTAGTGTAGTTGTACACTGGGTGCCATACAAGTGTAACTTAGTGTAGTTGTACACTGGATGTCATACATATTAGACTTAGTGTAGATGTACACTGGGAGCCATACAAGTGTAACTTAGTGTAGTTGTACACTGGATGTCATACAAGTGTAACTTAGTGTAGTTGTAAACTGAGTGCCATCCACAGATGTCATTTAATGCCCTTGTACACAAGTTGGTTTATCAATCCAGTTAAATCAAACCTCTTGAGTCCCTGAAAAGTTCAGTTTGATGTATTAAATAGTATCCTACTTGTGGCAGTTCGTGTTTCTCAGGAAAACTGGTCTGTGCTGTTGCCATTGTGCATGTCATGCAAAGGAAGGGGCCTATTTCATGTTAAGTAAGGTAGCTGTTAACTACTATAAGGCCTAAAAATGACCCTGGCTATTGACAGGAGGATAAACTTCAGCACACAAACAAACTACTGCCTGGAGTTCTGAGACAGGTCAGGAAAGTCTCTGTGTTGTGTCTTTAACTCTAAATATTGACACTATTTTTTTGTTTTTCAGTTTAAAGTCACATTAATTTGTCTATGAAATATATTCCAATTTCAAATCTGTGACCTTGTGACCTTCACCTGTAGTTTGGCATCTTCTCATTTGATTTTAGTTATACTTCATTATGTCATAAGAAAATATTTACCAATAACATCCAGATATCTGACATATTTTTGGCTGTATATTCAGATTTCTGTTGATAGTAATGATGACCTTGACCTTTGAGAGCAATTGAAATCTAGCACTTCTTGTGAAGAAACAATGGAGAGAGTATGAGTGTTATCACCCATATAGAACTAAGAATATTTTGTAGAATTGACTTTCTACTTAAAGTTAGTGAACTTGACCTTAGGACCTGAGAGTCACTCTGATTGCAATTGGCCCAACAGACCTTGAGATATTGTACCAAGTCAAAAACATAGAGAGATGAGCAGAGGGGCAGATGGGCAAACTTATGGTTAAAGGGCATCCCATCTTCTGTCACTAGCTTTAAAAATAATTCTTAAAGTAATCCTTATCTTCTATATGTTCAATATCTTAAAACTTACATTGTAATAGTCAATAAACAAAACTCAAGCAAGTTTAATTTGTCTCAGTTCATTTTGATGTGATTATAAATACAGAACTGAAAATAACATTGTCAGCAAATTATTTCCTTGTGAAGTTAAAGAACACAGAAGAAGTCAATTAATTAAATAAAAATTCCTGAGAGAATATGAATTTGAAATGCAATAAAAAGAAAAGGCAATAGAGCGGGCAATTACATTCATGGAAAAGTACAGGAATGAAGTGATATTTGGCAATCCTCCAGCAGCAATTGAAAATTGAAAGCTATCCATCAAGGAAAGATATTGCCCTATACAGATGGGGACCATTGAAGGTGTCTCATCATCACAATAAAATACAGAACAATGACAATGCTTCCTTTACATCCTTTCAATGTGGTGAATAATGATATCTTCATTTAATACATTTATAAAAGTTCACTTATAACACTCATCCACCACATTGAGTTCTAAAAATTTATGCAATTTTATTGTGATATATAAGATTCTTAATAATATTTATGGGATGGTTGAATGGTACAATGGGTGCACAAGGTGACTGAAGTTTGATTAAACATAAATAGGTTATTGAGTGACCAGTGATGTCAGATCACACATTTTACCTGGTTGCTCAAATAAAGAACCTTTTCCATTTTTGTGTACAGGAAAACAAAAGTAACAAGTACTAAGAGCTGTCAGTACTAGACACTGCCAGGTTTTTATATTATCCTAAAAATGTGTCACAAGTTGAGGGATGACATAGCTAGTCAATTCATCTGGTATATGTCTATATATTATTTCTCAGTGTGATTCACTCCAGGGTTTTGATATTATCCTAGTGTGTCACACTCCAGGGTTTTGATATCTCCTAGTGTGTCACACTGGAATATACTTCATGTGCACACTCCAGGGTTTTGATATAGTCCTAGAGTGTGACACACTCCAGGGTTTTGATATTATCCTAGTGTGACACACTCCAGGGTTTTGATATTATCCTAGTGTGTCACACTCCAGGGTTTTGATATTATCCTAGTGTGTCACACTCCAGGGTTTTGATATTATCCTAGTGTGTCACACTCCAGGGTTTTGATATTATCCTAGTGTGTCACACTCCAGGGTTTTGATATTATCCTAGTGTGTCACACTCCAGGGTTTTGATATGTGTCACACTCCTATGTGTGTCACACTCCAGGGTTTTGATATTATCCTAGTGTGTCACACTCCAGGGTTTTGATATTATCCTAGTGTGTCACACTCCAGGGTTTTGATATTATCCTAGTGTGTCACACTCCAGGGTTTTGATATTATCCTAGTGTGTCACACACCAGGGTTTTGATATTATCCTAGTGTGTCACACTCCAGAGTTTTGATATTATCCTAGTGTGTCACACTCCAGGGTTTTGATATTATCCTAGTGTGTCACACTCCAGGGTTTTGATATTATCCTAGTGTGTCACACTCCAGGGTTTTGATATTATCCTAGTGTGTCACACTCCAGGGTTTTGATATTATCCTAGTGTGTCACACTCCAGGGTTTTGATATTATCCTAGTGTGTCACACTCCAGGGTTTTGATATTATCCTAGTGTGTCACACTCCAGGGTTTTGATATTATCCTAGTGTGTCACACTCCAGGGTTTTGATATTATCCTAGTGTGTCACACTCCAGGGTTTTGATATTATCCTAGTGTGTCACACTCCAGGGTTTTGATATTATCCTAGTGTGTCACACTCCAGGGTTTTGATATTATCCTAGTGTGTCACACTCCAGGGTTTTGATATTATCCTAGTGTGTCACACACCAGGGTTTTGATATTATCCTAGTGTGTCACACTCCAGAGTTTTGATATTATCCTAGTGTGTCACACTCCAGGGTTTTGATATTATCCTAGTGTGTCACACTCCAGGGTTTTGATATTATCCTAGTGTGTCACACTCCAGGGTTTTGATATTATCCTAGTGTGTCACACTCTAGGATTTTGATATCTAGTGTGTCACACTCCAGGGTTTTGATATTATCCTAGTGTGTCACACTCCAGGGTTTTGATATTATCCTAGTGTGTCACACTCCAGGGTTTTGATATTATCCTAGTGTGTGTCACACTCCAGGGTTTTGATATTATCCTAGTGTGTCACACTCCAGGGTTTTGATATTATCCTAGTGTGTCACACTCCAGGGTTTTGATATTATCCTAGTGTGTCACACTCCAGGGTTTTGATATTATCCTAGTGTGTCACACTCCAGGGTTTTGATATTATCCTAGTGTGTCACACTCCAGGGTTTTGATATTATCCTAGTGTGTCACACTCCAGGGTTTTGATATTATCCTAGTGTGTCACACTCCAGGGTTTTGATATTATCCTAGTGTGTCACACTCCAGGGTTTTGATATTATCCTAGTGTGTCACACTCCAGGGTTTTGATATTATCCTAGTGTGTCACACTCCAGGGTTTTGATATTATCCTAGTGTGTCACACTCCAGGGTTTTGATATTATCCTAGTGTGTCACACTCCAGGGTTTTGATATTATCCTAGTGTGTCACACTCCAGGGTTTTGATATTATCCTAGTGTGTCACACTCCAGGGTTTTGATATTATCCTAGTGTGTCACACTCCAGGGTTTTGATATTATCCTAGTGTGTCACACTCCAGGGTTTTGATATTATCCTAGTGTGTCACACTCCAGGGTTTTGATATTATCCTAGTGTGACACACTCCAGGGTTTTGATATTATCCTAGTGTGTCACACTCCAGGGTTTTGATATTATCCTAGTGTGTCACACTCCAGGGTTTTGATATTATCCTAGTGTGTCACACTCCAGGGTTTTGATATTATCCTAGTGTGTCACACTCCAGGGTTTTGATATTATCCTAGTGTGTCACACTCCAGGGTTTTGATATTTTCCTAGTGTGTCACACTCCAGGGTTTTGATATTATCCTAGTGTGACACACTCCAGGGTTTTGATATTATCCTAGTGTGTCACACTCCAGGGTTTTGATATTATCCTAGTGTGTCACACTCCAGGGTTTTGATATTATCCTAGTGTGTCACACTCCAGGGTTTTGATATTATCCTAGTGTGTCACACTCCAGGGTTTTGATATTATCCTAGTGTGTCACACTCCAGGGTTTTGATATTATCCTAGTGTGTCACACTCCAGGGTTTTGATATTATCCTAGTGTGTCACACTCCAGGGTTTTGATATTATCCTAGTGTGTCACACTCCAGGGTTTTGATATTATCCTAGTGTGTCACACTCCAGGGTTTTGATATTATCCTAGTGTGTCACACACCAGGGTTTTGATATTATCCTAGTGTGTCACACTCCAGGGTTTTGATATTATCCTAGTGTGTCACACTCCAGGGTTTTGATATTATCCTAGTGTGTCACACTCCAGGGTTTTGATATTATCCTAGTGTGACACACTCCAGGGTTTTGATATTATCCTAGTGTGTCACACTCCAGGGTTTTGATATCTAGTGTGTCACACTCCAGGGTTTTGATATTATCCTAGTGTGTCACACTCCAGGGTTTTGATATTATCCTAGTGTGTCACACTCCAGGGTTTTGATATTATCCTAGTGTGTCACACTCCAGGGTTTTGATATTATCCTAGTGTGTCACACTCCAGGGTTTTGATATTATCCTAGTGTGTCACACTCCAGGGTTTTGATATTATCCTAGTGTGACACACTCCAGGGTTTTTGATATTATCCTAGTGTGTCACACTCCAGGGTTTTGATATTATCCTAGTGTGACACACTCCAGGGTTTTGATATTATCCTAGTGTGTCACACTCCAGGGTTTTGATATTATCCTAGTGTGTCACACTCCAGGGTTTTGATATTATCCTAGTGTGTGTGTCACACTCCAGGGTTTTGATATTATCCTAGTGTGTCACACTCCAGGGTTTTGATATTATCCTAGTGTGTCACACTCCAGGGTTTTGATATTATCCTAGTGTGTCACACTCCAGGGTTTTGATATTATCCTAGTGTGTCACACTCCAGGGTTTTGATATTATCCTAGTGTGTCACACTCCAGGGTTTTGATATTATCCTAGTGTGTCACACTCCAGAGTTTTGATATTATCCTAGTGTGTCACACTCCAGGGTTTTGATATCATCCTAGTGTGTCACACTCCAGAGTTTTTATATTATCCTAGTGTGTCACACTCCAGGGTTTTGATATTATCCTAGTGTGACACACTCCAGGGTTTTGATATTATCCTAGTGTGTCACACTCCAGGGTTTTGATATTATTCTAGTGTGTCACACTCTAGGATTTTGATATCTAGTGTCACACTCCAGGGTTTTGATATTATCCTAGTGTGTCACACTTCAGAGTTTTGATATCGTCCTACTGTGACACACTCCAGGGTTTTGATATTATCCTAGTGTGTCACACTCCAGGGTTTTGATATTATCCTAGTGTGTCACACTCCAGGGTTTTGATCCTAGTGTGTCACACTCCAGGGTTTTGATATCATCCTAGTGTGACACACTCCAGGGTTTTGATATTATCCTAGTGTGTCACACTCCAGGGTTTTGATATTATCCTAGTGTGTCACACTCCAGGGTTTTGATATTATCCTAGTGTGTCACACTCCAGGGTTTTGATATTATCCTAGTGTGTCACACTCCAGGGTTTTGATGTTATCCTAGTGTGTCACACTTGGCCAGGGTGCTTGCATGTGTCACACTCCAGTTCTTGATTTATCCTAGTGTGACACACTCCAGAGGTTTTGATATTTTTTTGATATTAGAATAACCGTGTGGTGGCTTCTAGTGTGTCACACTACAATTTTGATTGGTAATGATTACTTTTTACTGCAATTAAAGATTTAATGAATCATTGATTTTGTAGGTTTGGTACCATTCAAACTGTAATAACCGTGGACGGGGCTGTTATAACACTAACCTCACAGACTACGGTGGCTGCTGCATCTGGTATGATGAGCCCAAGGTAGGTAACTCTGATACAAACATCACAGACTGTGGTGGCTGCTGCATCTGGTATGATGAGCCCAAGGTAGGTAACTCTGATACAAACATCACAGACTGTGGTGGCTGCTGCATCTGATATGATGAGCCCAAGGTAGGTAACTCTGATACAAACATCACAGATTGTGGTGGCTGCTGCATCTGGTATGATGAGTCCAAGGTAGGTAACTCTGATACAAACATCACAGACTGTGGTGGCTGCTGCATCTGGTATGATGAGCCCAAGGTAGGTAACTCTGATACTAACCTAACAGACTACTGTCGCTGCTGTATCTGGTATGATGATGTGATCGAAAGGTAGGTAACTCTCATGCAGACCTTAGACTGCTGTCGCTGCTGTATCTGGTATAAAGAGCCGAAGGTAGGTAACTCTGATACAAACCTGACAGACTGTGATGGTTGCTGTTGAGATACAGTCAGCCCAAGGTAAGTTATACAGAAGCAAAAACTTAATGCATATAATCGCTGGTCATAGACAAAAATAGGAAACCCTTAAACAACTTAAACTTACTGGTAAATCTATATTTAAAATCTTATAAACAACAAGAGATACTCATACAAGTCTGGAGAAGGAAAAGATAGCTCAAACATTCAAACCTCACAAACCAAGATAGATCAATGAATTCCACTCTGTAAAATAGTACTGAGCTACAGTTACATTGGTGTTATTATACCTGAAACTCTTTTGTTCCAATATCATACTGCTGTACCATTTCTGTAGTGGTTCTGTACATTAGTGGTTCTGTACCATTTCTGTAGTGGTTCTGTACAGTAGTGGTTCTGTAAGGTAATGGTTCTGTACAGTAGTGGTTCTGTACAGTAGTGGTTCTGTACCATTTCAGTAGTGGTTCTGTACAGTACTGGTTCTGTACAGTAGTGGTTCTGTACCATTTCTGTAGTGGTTCTGTACAGTAGTGATTCTGTACCATTTCTGTAGTGGTTCTGTACAGTAGTGATTCTGTACCATTTCTGTAGTGGTTCTGTACAGTACTGGTTCTGTACAGTAATGGTTCTGTACAGTAGTGGTTCTGTACTATTCTGTAGTGGTTCTGTACCATTTCTGTAGTGGTCCTGTACAGTAATGGTTCTGTACCATTTCTGTAGTGGTTCTATACAGTAATGGTTCTGTACAATTTCTGTAGTGGTTCTGTACAGTAATGGTTCTGTACAGTAGTGGTTCTGTACAGTAGTGGTGCTGTACCATTTCTGTAGTGGTTCTGTACAATAGTGGTTCTGTACAGTAGTGTTGCTGTACCATTTCTGTAGTGGTTCTGTACGGTATTGTTGTTGTACCATTTCTGTAGTGGTTCTGTACCATTTCTGTAGTGGTTCTGTACAGTAGTGTTGCTGTACCATTTCTGTAGTGGTTCTGTACGGTATTGTTGCTGTACCATTTCTGTAGTGGATCTGTACCATTTCTGTAGTGGTTCTGTACAGTAGTGGTTCTGTACAGTAGTGTTGCTGTACCATTTCTGTAGTGGTTCTGTACGGTATTGTTGCTGTACCATTTCTGTAGTGGTTCTGTACAGTAGTGGTTCTGTACCATTTCTGTAGTGGTTCTGTACAGTAGTGGTGCTGTACAGTAGTGTTGCTGTACAGTAGTGGTTCTGTACCATTTCTGTAGTGGTTCTGTACAGTAGTGGTCCTGTACCATTTCTGTAGTGGTTCTGTACAGTAATGATTCGGTACAGTGGTTCTGTACAGTAATGGTTCTGTACAGTAGTGGTTCTGTACAGTAATGGTTCTGTACAGTAGTGGTTCTGTACAGTAGTGGTTCTGTACCATTTCTGTAGTGGTTCTGTACAGTAATGATTCGGTACAGTGGTTCTGTACAGTAATGGTTCTGTACAATAGTGGTTCTGTACGGTAGTGGTTCTGTACGGTAGTGGTTCTGTACAGTAATGGTTCTGTACAGTAGTGGTTCTGCACAGTAGTGGTGCTGTACCATTTCTGTAGTGGTTCTGTACAGTTGTGGTGCTGTACCATTTCTGTAGTGGTTCTGTACAGCAATGGTTCTGTACAGTAGTAGTTCTGTAGAGTAGTGGTTCTGACAGTAGTGGTGCTGTACCATTTCTGTAGTGGTTCTGTACAGTAGTGGTTCTGTACAGTAGTGGTTCTGACAGTAGTGGTGCTGTACCATTTCTGTAGTGGTTCTGTACAGTAGTGGTTCTGTACAGTAGTGGTTCTGTACCATTTCTGTAGTGGTTCTGTACAGTAGTGGTTCTGTACAGTAGTGGTTCTGTACCATTTCTGTAGTGGTTCTGTGCAGTAGTGGTTCTGTAGAGTAGTGGTTCTGACAGTAGTAGTGCTGTACCATTTCTGTAGTGGTTCTGTACAGTAGTGGTTCAGTACCATTTCTGTAGTGGTTCTGTGCAGTAGTGGTTCTATACAGTAGTGGTGCTGTACAGTAGTGGTTCTATACAGTAGCTGTTCTGTACAGTTGTGGTTCTGTCAGATTCCTGTAGTGGTTCTGTACAGTAGTGGTTTTGTAACATTTCCTCACTGTTTCTGTAGCAGTAATGTCTATGGGTTCTCAATTTATGGGCCTTAATTTTAATACATTTCTTGTGAAATGGGATATATACTATAAAGTCTTCCTACAAAATGCAAAATGTATTTCAAGAATATAATTGCATCAGAAATATTTTTAATGAAAAAGCTGCAAAATGACGTTTCATATTAAATGGTTTTGACATAGTTTATGTGTAAAATATTATTTACATCTTCTCAGTAACATAACCTTGTCCTCTATGTGCCATATCTGATTAAACCTGTTCATGACGTAACACCATCGGTAATAAAAGTAACTGACAAAGGAAAGTAACTCTCCTTCTTATTTCTGTCAGGGGCAATAACCTTGACAAAATGCAACTGCATATGTAGGTTTTTGTATGCTTTTAGAACAAATTAATAGCTAGTTCTTCCTAAAACTATAAGTCGTCGATATAATGTGGCTGTTTATGTGAAATAAATGTGGCAAAAGGAAAATTATTTCACTAATCTGCCAGAGCATAAATATTGATTTATGGAATGAAGACATTATAATGGAACAAATAGGATTTGGTTGGTATTTGAAGGCTTGCTGTACTACTCTGATTGTTTCAGAATGATGTTTAGTACAAGATACATGTATATCACAGAGGTGCAATAACTATATCAGAAAAATTCATCAATTAAGTCCGTAAATGATAAAAAAAAATTGTGAAATGGGTAATGTATTAAGAGATGTCTTCAATTCTTTGTAGTTCTGAGAAGGAAATTTGATGAATTTTTGTTTAAAATTATCTCTCTTTAGTTATTACTGGATATCCAAGAGCACCTGGACATCACCATAGATACAGTGGAACCTGACCTCAAAGTTCCCGTTAATGAGTTTGATGGAAAAGTTACATATGGCAACAAAAGGAAAATTACAGGTAAAATGTAGTTCTGGGTTGGATGATCTTAATTTGTACCCCAGTGATGTTCAAGGTACTTCATAAAACCTATATATATTCATATCATAGATAATTGCCATTTGGGGGGGATAAACACTTATCTTTATATACATCTCAAAACATCAAGAAAAATAAACAAGCAAATAATAGGACTTGTATACTTTTTTGAGTAAATGTTATATGATGCTAATAACCTGTAACTCATGAGAAAATTGATCCTGTAATTTCAGGCAGTAGCTATCAAGGACATGTGGCATCACTTGCCCCAGCCGTCAAGGAGCTTGCTGATCTCGAGAAAAGGGCACAGACATCATTTATTGACCTTAAGAACAAAAAACGATTCATGACACGATGATGATGAGATCTGACTGAGAGACTGAAGAGTTTCTAAACTGATTATTTAAATGTGGAAATTAGAAAATGATCTGGTGGAGAGGTCAGGAAATTAGAAAGTGACTACTTATTTATTGTCATGGGCTGAAACAGGTTTATATTGCGATAATCATTCAAATTTGTGAAACAACTGCAGAGCTTGGTGTTTGTATTGCTTTCAAAAGATACATATATATTTTTGTTTGTAATGCATATGAAAATAAATAGAACAGAAAGATTTTCAAATAAGATAATTCAAAATATATATAGGGTTTATGGCCTTAGATATATATTGTTTTCTGTAGTTTTTAATGGAAAGATTGTAGGGAGACTGTGCATTAATAAAAGTGTGAATTTATAATGGGCTTGAAAAGTTGTTGAGAAATCTGCAAATATTTTTTATTGATAATGAAAAATGTAAAAATACATTATCCATGTTTTTCAATCTTATTAGAGACATTTACTGGAATGTTTGGTACAGGTGTTTCTATAATGTTTTATGGCCGACCATCCTTAATAAATAACATTACCAGGTTCTCACTCCATGACTCCTAACTTTATCCATTATGTACGTGTCTATGATTTTCTATATAATCCACCATAGACTGCATCAGCACCTGAAATAGATTATATTACATTGTGTGTAGCCTGAAAACATCAATAGAACAGCATAGTTTTCAGTCGTAAACCAGCCTTAGTGATTGAATAATTTCTTTGTCAATTAACAATATCTATTGTCCAGGGCTTTTTCTGGTGTCTGTTTGGCAGAATCTAGGTCCCATTCCCAGTTGGATTTATTTCATAATATAGCCAAATTTCCATAATATATGTGTTTCTCCTTAAAGTTTTCTTCTCACTTTTATCCCCAAAAAAAGCTCTTTCCTTTTTCCAAATGAGTGAAACAAATTCCTGTTGTCAGTGCGATCAGAGCTCGTAGTCTTCCATCCACACAAATGTAGGCTCACATGTCGTGTCATTATCATGTAAACGGGTACATGTAGATGATTTGATTTGATAAGAATTGTATTTGTCTCACTGCTTTACTGCTTTTGTTGAAATTATATTGGTAAGATGCATGGCAGTGGAAAAAACATTTACATGATTGGGGGTTGTGTTTGAAGCAAAAGACACTTACCATTCTGGTACACCTGGTCTTGTTTCATAAGTCTCCATTTGTTTGCATTTGTTTTATTGAATTTGAGTTTTGAATTTGATTATGTTGACATATCGGCATTATTTGTTTTTTCTCTGCACATTATTTTTACGTGGAAATAATTTTCGTATCTACAGGTATAGGGATAAATTTCATCAACAAAGTATGTTTAAAACAGACATTAATTCCATCTGAAATTGTCTTTTATTTTCTGTTTTGGCCAGAATTGCAGATTTCAAAGTTTAGCTAAAATGTGATTAAGGAAATACTGGGTTGTACAGTGGACTTTTTTTGTCTTTTTAAAAGAGAAATTATTGGACAACCTTGGGGCCTATACAGGTAAATTTGTTTGATAACTACATTGTCCTTCAAAGTCATGCTATAGTAATATGTTAATGCAGTTGATCCATGAATTCTAGAACTAATGCTCACACATGGTATATATATTAATGCTCCATAGTATTGGTTTGCCTAATACTTGGAGTATTTAAGTGCTACATGTGTAACTACAATGTTTCATTGTGAGCTCAACAAATAATAAAGAATTTCATTGACTACAGTGATGTTGTTTTCATTTCTATAGAAATTTAAGTGGCTCGTGTATTCTTGAAGGAACTCTTTTTGTTGTTATTTAAATCATCTGATAAAAGTTCGGGTATATGAACAGCACCCATTACATGATCCTAGTGATCACTCATCCTTTCTCTCTTGACAACAGCTTTTTTCCAAATGTCTGTCTTGACACTGCATCACTTTTGAGCATGAGATGAGCATTCACCCTCAATTCTGTGAGGAGGAATTTTGGGCTCTTTCACCTGGGGAGAGACATACCAAAGTCTGATTTCAGTTTCATGTTTTTTTTCTGTAATATATAATGGACAGTTGTTTAGGATAAATGGGCTTACTGACTGATGTTTGCATTCTGATTGGTCAGTTTGATGTCCATCTACAAACTGATCGGACAAATCATAACTGTTGTTTAAACAATACGAATTTACTAGTTTACCTTGATCTGATACTCAATCATTTACTATACTGTCACTTATTGATACTTAACTCTAGACAGAGCTGTCAGACAATTAACAGACCAGGTAACATCACAGGTAAGTTGTAATTGCCAGCAAATGACTTAACGGGGACAAAGGAAGGTGGACTTGAATGAACAGGTGCTTTCTTCAAGTGACCTTAGAGTAAATAGATTTACATACACTATCTATACATTCTGTTGTTTGTTGACTAGACAATGTTGATGACCTACCCTGAGTAAAATCTAATTACACATATCAAAGAAAATCATGTGAAGCTTAAATGCTGATAAGCACATACTGCAAACCTGACATTCTTGTCTAATTGGTACTAAATACTTTCTGTGTCTGTATATTTTAAATTTCTAAAACTATTTCTCTTCTCATTTTTTTTTTTTTTCCCCTTTTTTCAGTAGAAATTATCTATGATTGAGTAAAACATTTGTTTCTAGAGAAACAAACACAAGCACTCGACAACAGTACATGCACTCACCTCATAAACACAAGTGATTAGTACTGTGGAACTGATATTCAGAATTTGATACAGCTTAGCGGACTAAGGGGTTGAAATGGTGGTCCTTAATAGCAAAGATTATGTAAATTGTAGTCTGCCAACAATATCATTCAGCTTTATTTTGTAGACACTGTAAACCAATCACTTTTCTTCAATGACAAAAAAACTAGTAATATCAGTTCTACATAGGAATGATCACAGAAATAAGGAAATTAGTTTCTCCAAATATGGCATGGTGAATTGGTAAACATCTCCAGCCATTTAACTTTACAATAGACCACCTGATAGCTAGGTCGTTATCCCAGAGCAGAGGATAAGCCTTGCCGCAGAGTATCAGGAGGGATCAATTTGAAATCTTTCCAAACAAGATTGGCAATTTGAACTTTTGTCTGTACTTTTAAATCAAATGTTAAACGAGACAGTATCAATTTAGAATTTTCGGAGAGATTTTGACATAGTCATTATCATATTCTTTCTTTTATTTGACACTAGCAAAATGTGTTTTGTGTTGGCTCAAAAAAAACATGCAAGTATTCAGGAGAAATTGATGACAAGAACCATTTGGGGTTTTCGGAAAAGCTGAATTTTCAATCCGAGACGTTTGCAACATCAATCAATTGTATCACCTTTGGGGTTTGTGTTGAGTTTAGATTCATGTGCAGATAAGAAACAAATAATCCGTTTTTTGTTAGGTATTTATCAACATTCCCATCATCATACCCTCGAGTTTTACTGTATTAGAACAAATGTTACATTCGAAGAATGTAAGACTTAATGTATAAGCGGGCTCATTGTTCCTCATCTCTGAAAACTCTCTGATCAGTTGACAATATGACGTTTTTTATTCAGGTTTGAATAGCGTTTCGTCTTCAACAATGGCATCAAATTGTTTTCACAATGTTGGAGAAGAAAGTGTTGACATCACTTAAATAGCGTCCACGAAGTTCATACAACAGTCTGGCACGTGATCACGCATTTACTATAGATCATTAAAGGACAGCTGCATAAGAAACACAAATGTCATAAAAGACCCAAAGTAGCCCAGAATTTTGAAAGTAAGCTATGTTGCAAAATATCCGTTTTGCTGTCTCCGCATCTCGCCACCAATAAAATTCAATTTACTACAGTATGATCAGGATGTACGGCTGCTTTCATCACAGAAGAGTTTTCCTTATATGTACGCTGGAGGTCGTCTAGTCGAATGTCACGAAGTCCAAAATGTTGTATGGATTTTATAAATAGCCACACTTCTGAATTTAAATGCTTTGTCTTTGTTCTAGGCATGATAATGATGAAACTCGCTCGATACCAAGAATTTTATGGAGTAATTGGAGAATGATGAAGGAGATTATCTGCATTCAAATAACATGCAAATATTTTTTCCGCCTTAATACACGTCGAGTTCCTAAATCTCATTTACCGATCCTTTCTTAACCAAAGTACATACCTTTTATAATGTGATAGAGGCATGCTTTTCGTCCATGTATTATATTAATGGTCCGTTCGGGATTAAACTGTAATGGAATTATACTAGACATATCTATAAACAACAGAGAATAAAGGAACGTGATAAAACTGGAGATTTCCACATCACTTTTGATATAATTGTTTAGGTTGATATATGCGCTTAGCACATACAATATAATGATTTGAAAACAGCCGGAATTTTTCACTGATGTATCTCAAATTTTCGTTTACGCATATGTCATTGTTGAACCAGATACAATTTCTGTTTATCATAAAAACCTGAATCATCCTGTTGGTAAATCCAATTACTCTTCTGCTATTCACGGAATGTAAAACCCGTGAAATTGAGAGCAAATGAAATGGAAGTTTTCTTATGGTGTTATATATTTTGTCTGTTACAATTAATTCTTCTTTAACATCTTAAATACGACAGAAAACAATTATATAGTTTCGCTTTCGCGTTTTATGGTGATTCTTGTGTTCTTTCTGTGTTTGAAATTGTGGTAAACTGTCATTGACTTGGACTTTGTTCAGGCGTGCAGCCTACACGCAGACTGTTATATTAAGGATATACAACACAGACATTCACAATGTTAGGTAATTTACAACTGAGAAAATATTGACTGAAAAAAATAAAAGATACTGGAGATTTCGTAATAGATAATAAAATAAAATCAATGGTTTCAAAGATATATATAGCGTATCTTTAGAAATGATAGAATGTAGAATTATTTTTACATAAAATGTGGAACGTTTATGACCAGCTCCGGACAAGAATAATTCCCAATATCAGGGTTTTTATACAAAATGTCAATTCCTAACTGATCAACCTACATTCAACGAATTCACGGTATCTAGAGATGCATGTTGTTGAAGAAAACGGATATGTTTTACGATTGCTATATTACATGGTAAATATTTCCATGTAATTCACGTGTTCGATTCCCGTTACTATGCCTGATGGTTTGGATTTTATTGGTATGATTGCTGTATTATATAGTAAATGTTTCCGTGTAATTCACGTGTTCGATGTCCGTTACCATGCCTGATGGTTTGGCTTTTATTGGCATGGTTCTCTTTTAAGAACATGACATTACTTACTTAGATTTACATGGCGTTATCGATGAAGTAGAAGACGCTTACCATTACGTAACACCTGGTGACATTCTCTTTATACGTTTTCAGACATGAACCTATTAAGCCTTCGTTCCATCGATGATAAGCTGGAATTTTTAACCGACCGGTATTTTTCTGACGTTTTTCAACAGAATATACGTACTGTTTTTCCAAAGGAAGGGGAATGTGGACAAAACTCTTCGGCATTTGCTGTTTGAAAGTCACTATGGTACCGACTGCCTTTTTGTTATATTTATAATTCATTTCCAGAGTGAGATAAGTCCTTCGCCATTCTGGTACGTTTCAAAACGTTATCCGTATTTCTGCAAAACTTGTAAAAATGTTACAAAGTTGTGGAGTCTACCACCTACTTGTGAACTAGTATGTTCTCAATGGAATGTCTTTGTAGCAGATGTCGTTAGTCATTGTATTTTAGATTGTTATAACCCTATGTTACTCTGCTTGACATTTTTACCACAGTAGTCAACGATTATCCAGTCCAGGTGTATATGTTCCTTGTTAACTCGTGTAAAGAGGTTCAAATTGCCGCCATCCTCGACAGTCCATGTGCGGTGATAAAAGACGTGCTTGAAAACGGAGATTCCCCCTGCCTCCGTTCTGCCTTTTTTCTGTGTCTTCAACTCTGGGATGAATGAATGAATGAATTAATTAATTGATTCATTAAATTTTCGTTATTTCAAATTTGATGAATACTCGAATTCCATCCCATGGCCAAAACCTCGTAGATACCAGTTGCCTCACTTTGACTTTTAATCGAACATTGGCCGAAACATACGTTTTGTACAAGATAAAATACTGATACCGTTAATACAAACGATAACATCTCGCATGCCTATGTAAATAAAACCAAAGGGATGGGGCAGAGAATAATACCATCATAGAAAGGTAGTTGTTTATGTAAAGGAATTGTATTGCATTCCTAATTTTCAGTGAAGTTAAAACACCACTAATATAAATCATGAAATTTAAAAGCATTTGGGAAAAAATTTTTTAAAAAATCATAAAATAGGAACTGAGCAAATGTGTTGATTTAAATGTTGGTAGACTACACCACCTGTAGCTATTCCCGCCTGGCATCTCAAAAATAGAAGTCTGGATACGCTAATATACAGACGTTACTACCCCTATATCGTTGTTAGTAGTGAAGCTATGTACTGGTTTGTCCAGCGGGATACATAAGAAGTTTATTATACATCGCTTCCTTTTCTAACATAAGGGAGAGGGGGTATAGTTTCATCTTTTTATGCGGGTGCTTGCGAACTTGTGTGGGTCTGTATGAACTCTGAAACAGATTTGGCTCATATTCAGGCCGTATCAACGCACCATCATGATCTACACTGGCTATATTTTGATGTTCATTAGTCAAGGTTAAAGGTCAAATATCTCCCTCGACCACTTGTAAAATCTTGTAT